GGTGAATAGCCGCCGAGCAGTGGTGGGTAGGGATGTCCGCCCACCAATCTAAGTCACGTAACGACNCACGGGACAAGCGAACTCGACCGGACCAGCCAACAGGTTGCTTAATGTCGTCGTAAAAATTGCGGAGAAATAAAGGCGCTGGGGTAAGGGCCAATTTGACACTCTGCGCAAAACCACAAAACTTAGCCAGCTCACGCTTCTGTACAAGACGCCGATTTTTCTTTGCCGTGATCCGCAACCCGATCGCGAGCCGCCGCAATTTGGCGAGCTTCTGCTTAGGCACCTCAAACACACCAGCTGCCGTATTGATCGTAATGCCTAAATGGTACACTGACTGCGACGGCTCCCACTGGCACTTGGTGGGGTGGCACGACAACCCCAAGAACTCGATACTCTCACGCACCCAGCGTGCACCAAGACGCGCTTGCTCCTCAGAACTAAACACGAAGAGGAAGTCATCCAAATACGGCAGCACTCGCGCACCCGGACGAGAAGGACGCCCTGTCCGGGAAACGGGAAAAAACTGGTGGGGCGGGAGCGGGGGCGAGAGACGCTTGCGACCTTTACCCGACGCAGCCAAAGGATCCCGCCAAAAACGCACCACATTGCGCATGATTTTCGTAAACCAATACGGGCTATTTAGCCACCCCATAGGCAGGGCGTTCATCTCGTACAGAACACCACAAAAACGAAAAGTGAAGAAACGCCGATCCGCTGGGCGAATAGGGATGTGGTAAAAAGCGTCCGCCAAATCAACCTTCACCATCCAGGAGCCCTCGAGGCCCATACGCCGCAGAGTGCGGAGGGTTTCATACCGGCACTTGTAAGCTTTCTGCGCTACGTTCATCCTCTTCAGGTTGACGACCAAACGCCAAGAACCACTGTCCGGTTTCGGGACACAAAAGGCGTTCACCACATGATCAACCGCACGGGAGGGGTCTACCCGCGAGATGGCCCCGAGCGCCACCAGGCGAGGCTCCTCCTTCTCCAACTACTCGTGCTGCCCCGGAAACTCCACGCCTGGGGTTGTAGAGCCCGTCGCCACGCGGAAGGGATGGGACACAGCGCACACATAGCCACCACCGGTGTGGGCGGACGTCGATTTCCTGATCCGCTGAAGAGCAAACCTTCAGCGTCGCGCCCAAACCTCGGCGATGAGCTTGATGAAATACGTCGTCAAGCGGACATTTAGTGTTGTAGCTGCAGGGGCAAGCTTGTTGGGTCCGGGGTGGGCGGGAGTTGTTGACCCGCTCCGGAGAAAGCAGGGGGCATAAACTGCGTCGCAGAAGCCCTCGAGGAAATGCCAGTCTGTGACATTCCAGTTAGCTATGTAGGATAGCTGTGAGTTGCCTCCACCAGCGGAGTCATGCCTAGCGATACCGGGACATGCGCCGCCACTAGCACTACTAAAGGTGCTTCAATAAGGTGGGCTAACTCTATGGTGCTAGTGCTTTATATTCTCCACTGCACTCTACCCGATGGGTCTCGCTGACGAGCCGAAGGCACAGCGGTATAGTAACAGAAAGCGCGCCGAAGGCGCGGGACCTGTTTTGTTGATCAGCGCGCGCTGAACAACAAAAACAAGATAAGCTAACCAGCTTAATGCGCGCAATAAATGACGGCCCTGAGGACACGGGCCGTTGCGAAACAGTTAGTCTAACAGTTACGCATTGGGCCTTACGCCCAACTAACCCAGCTTACTTAACGCAAGCTCGCATTATCTCATCCTCCAGCGAGCCCGCATCGGACACTGCTGGCTGACTGTGTTGATAAATATCCTTGGAAGGCTCATCTACTGCCTGTGGCATATCAGCGGTGTCCACCTTGTCTTTATCCAAAAGGTTGAGTACGTCGAGCGCCGCACCGAACCGCGACTGCCGGAAGCCTTGACCTTCATAAAAAAACCTCTTCGCGGCATATATGACTTACCAAGCAAATAAAATATTTACCATAGTACTGACAGATATTGCTTCCTGCATATGAGGCCATGGTTGGGAAGTAAAACGAATGAGGCAGCTGCAGGTGTGTTATTATTTGAGAAGGAAACAATTACAGATTAAAGTGATTAATGCTTATTGTGTAGATAAGAAAACAAGCGGTATGATTTGATCTATGTTGAAAATCAATGAAAATCAATGCCAATCTCGAATAGGACACCTTCGGTACGGCACTGGCGGCGTCCCCATAATGACGCATATTATCATCTAATTTTCCGAACTCACGATCCATGAGCCTCCTGGCTCGTCTGGGCCTTACGGGCTCTCGCGATCTTGTAACATAATATGCGTACGCTGAGTGACTGCCTGAGTGGTATGATA